AAAGCACGCACCATGCAAATAAACATTTTCAACCAACTGAAGAGCAGCCAAAGGAATATAGTAACATTAGGCAATACATTCCTTTTATTTAATTTAAGGATTTAACAAAAAATGGAGATTAAGAAATATGAAACAAATGATTTCCGCCAAAGAGGTCCTGTAAAGAAAGATGCCTTGGAAAGTAAACTGGAATAAGAAAAAGGAATATCAAGTACAAAACCTTTGATGACGACGCTTTAATGACAGAGGTAAAGAAGCAATTCTAGAAGGAAAAAAAATAAAAACCAGAGCCGCATATACGAGTAAGCTGCTGAGAGGTTTCTGTAGCTATAGCACTTACCTGCAATAATAAAGAGCGTTACACCATGAAGTTACATAATTGGTAGCAGGAAAATTAACTGTCAGCTCAATTACAAAACAGCACAGCAGATGCAGAAATTTAGACAGAAATTCACAAATGAACTATGATGATGTATTTGTAAGGTACAAACACACTGCACAGTCAGAGGCTTATACACCGGTATTATCTTAAATAAATGTCAGATGAAGAGTGGATTACCTACTTATTAATACCTAAAAGGAGCACTGTATACTTTTTAAAAGAAAGCTGTAATGGCAGAATATGGAGACTGCCATTGCTGACTTGTCCTTTAACTGCTAGTTGTTGGGCTGTTATTCTGATCTAAATGGTACTTTATGAGAAACGTAACCAAAATCTCAAGAATTCTGACATCACGCTGAAGCTTGTTCTATTTAGAGACTCAAGTACTGAAGCTAAAAAGAGCTAGGCAACAAATATTGTAAGCTAATATTGCAGCTATGGCAGCCAGCTACTTCTCATTGCTGGATTGCTTTAAAGTGGAACTAAATATTGGGGTGCTGCAGGTGGTCAAGCATGCACAGCATACTGATACATTACGGCAAACATATATCTTAGTTTATTAGGGGGTCTTAGTTTTGAACCCCCAAAACAAGCGCAATCTGTCTGTGTTCAGGGACAATCATCTATTCCAAAAGGCAAGTAATTGTTCCATGTTCGATTACATGCAGGAGTCTGCTGTCAGCCTGTCCTGTTGAACGGGCACAGCGGGCGCATTTGTACAAGCACTCCTGGGATTCTTGCTGCAGGAATCCATAGGTTCTTACTGCAGGAATCCCTAGCCGCAGCCTAAAGCCCCGTGTGAATGGAGCCTAAGACTGAATTCATAAGTGCAAAGGGTAATTAGATATGACACCAATATACAAACGCCCTCCTGTATTTGTACATAATTATACAGAGCTGACGTGCAGCACATTTTCAACTTTTATTTACATAATTAGTGATTGTATAAATGCATATCTTCTGCCAACCTCCAGGAAAGCTCTTGTGTACAACCTTCATGATCAGCTCCTTCAGCAAGATTTATGGTGAACTGGAAGAGCAGGACACTTCTAAGGACACTAAGCTACTGAAATCCTTACATATTTTTACTTACTTTTCTTGTAATTGTAAAGAAGCAAATATGCAGCCCAGCAAAAAAACAAAACAATTGCCATAGTTTCAAATTCCGATACCACAATGTTCTTTATAATATAAAATTCTCCGAAGGCCTGAGAGCGAAACAAATCAATACTTACATTTGTGGTTTGTTCATTGTGGTTCAGGATGTTATTTGTACAACTCATATTAGTGTTCCAGTCATTGGAAAGGCCTATACTGTCTGAAGAATAGAGGGAAGGGGCATGTTTTAAATTACTTGATTGCATCATCACATTCATAGTATCTTCAGTAGAGGGAATTCCTAAAGGATAAAAATGGTAAAGATTGTTGGCGTTGCTGCACTAGTCAAAAAGAAAAACAGTAAGCTGGAAAAATTCTGTTTTCTTTTTATTATTCACATTATTACTTACTTTCAACATGTGCAAAAGCACAAAACGGTCCTCTTGGACAGTACCCAGTCTGCCTCACATCATTGCATTTTGTAGACTTATAAATCTAAACAAAAATATTTACAAACATGGTTACACATCAAAAGCTAAAGAGACAGTTAAATGACATACATGTGAAAGGGTAACTCCACTTTAAAAATATAAAAATCAAAACAAATCTTTAAAAAAATTAATATAGCGTATGTAATTGTCGCACAAGCCATTTTGTAAATCAATGGTATTAAAATGAACTAGGGATGCACCAATACCGGTCTTTCGGTATAGAGTACGAGTACCGATATTTTTTTCCCAGGTAGTCACCGATACCGAATGTCCCATTACAGAAGCCAGGCAGCGTGTAATGACTCAACCTGGCTTCCTGATTAGCCGGGCGGCGTGTAAAGACTCGCTACCCGGCTTTGTGATTAGCAGGGAAGCCATCCCCATGCTTCTCGTCACTGGGTGACGAGAAAGCATGGAGCCAGCTTTCTGGCCAATCAGGAAGCCGGGTGGCGTGTAATGAAGCGGTGGCCGGCTTCCTGATTGGCCAGGAAGCCGGCTCCATGCTCCCTCGTCATGAGTTGACGAGGGAGCATGAAGCCGGCTTCCCGGCCAATCGGAAAGCCGGGCGCCGCATCATTACACGGTGCCCGGCTCCCTGATTGGCCTCAAACCTACAGTCCCTATCTTGTTAGTGACCCGGGACTGCCTGCAACTTCCCGGCCAATCGGAATGCCGGGCGCCGCATCATTACACGGTGCCCGGCTTCCTGATTGGCCAGCTTCTCCACCAATCAGGAAGCCGGCCACCAATCAGGAAGCCGGAGGTATCGGGCTAGACATCGGAGCATTTGGCCGAGTACGAGTACCAAATGTACAGATGTAATGGCTTCATTTCTTTCTGAACCACTGACCCAGATCAAGTGTGCAGATCAGAAGTTCTGACTTCACTCTGATTTTCCTGATCTGCAGGCTTGCTTGATAGAGCACAAAAACCAGAAAGAGCCAGGCAACTAGTATTTCATTAGGAGGTCAGCAATAATAGCCCAAGTATTTCTTTTAATACAGTTTTCCTTCACAGGGATATTCTGATATGGACTTGTTTTTTTAAACTCAGTGTTTCATAATGTTTTGGGCCTGTAGCAAGAAATAAGTGCAATTTTAGACTTTGACCATGATTACAATGAAATTTTTCCTTTGAGGTTTCGATATACTTTAAGGCCTTTCAAAATAAAGAATTGTTGAATCAATCATGGCAAGATCGAATGTGCTGACAAACTATTTTGAATTAATGTTGTAACAAAATTCTAACAGTGTATGGTGAGCTTTATGGGTCTATAAAACCTAAAGCTTCAAAATAATCAAACTGTGCTACTTCAGATTGCTAGTCATACATGGAAATTTCATAGACCCCCTGGTGCCCAAAGTGCCCCTGGCAGCCCTCGCCACTTACTATGCGGCCCCTAGGGCCCTCGCAGATAGTAGTCTGTGTTTTGATGCTTCCTCAAGCCAATAGAAAAAAAATATACTCTTTAGACTGGCTTCTAGTAGGACTTAAGGGAGTGTATTTTCCAATCTGTCAGCGCTTAGTGGAGGGCTCTTAGTAACACATGGAGGGAATCAACGGACATCTATAAAATTGTACAGAGGAGGCTGCTGCTCCAAACCTAGGATGGGAAGCCTCAATGATCATGCAAATAGTAATCGTACTACAGTATTACTTTATTATATGTTTTTAATGGACAAATAAACAGTATTAAGGAGGAGAAGGCACTGTTCTTGGTTTTCTTTTGCAGGTTTTTAAGGGGGCTGTAGAGAACAAAAACATGGAAGTATTGATTTATAAAAGGGGCTGTAGTGGCAGTGATCTCTAGCAGGCTCATGTAATTTTTCTCTAGTTTATAGAGGATTCCTTCAGCATGTCCCCTGTGTCTTAAATCATGTCCACAATCTGTGATCATCTTCTGTAGCATCTGTTATATGTCTGCACTCTCTGACAGCTTTCTGTAACATTACAATTACTGAATATTGTGTGCAGCCCTTTGCCGATATCAGGGTCTGCACTTGAGGCCTTCTACATCTAGTACGTTGACCACCACTGTACTATGATGACTTGAATTCTGCAAACAAAACACTGAAAAATAGTACACACTCTGTGTTGTTGGACAATATGATGTATTAAAGCAGCCACAGGGGTTGCAGCTTACCTCAGGATGGAACTGCTGCTCAGTGCGTGAATGGCAATATTGACAGCTGTCCCCACTATCACATTTTGATGGCTCTCCCCACTCATCTCCATGTTTCACGCTTGGACAAGGTGTGGATCTAAGAGATAGGCAAGCAATTATTTGCTAGCAAGTAAAACAAAAAAAACAAAAACTTTCTGTTAAACCAGCTTGAGATGGAAGATGCTATTCTAAAATACTAAACAATATGATAACATACAGACGTCTCAATTAGTTTAATTGGCTCAATTAGTGGACAAGGTCTGCTACCAACAAAACTCTTTTAGTGCTGGAGACTGCTATTTTGTTTATTAGCCCTCATTCACATGGGTAACGGCCGGCCTGTACAGATCCGTGCTGCGTGCACGGCCTCATCGGGCAGCTCCCGGGAAGGACAGGTGCTGCGTGTGATTTGTACACAGCAACCTGCTCTTCTCTATGGGAGTACGTGGCCGTATGCCGCCCTTTGCTCACCCGACCTGCAAATCTGTGCGGATGTCCATACTCGTATGCTGACAGGGTGGATCCTGTCTGCGTCAGAGCAGGGACACCTGCACCCGTACGGACGTGCAGGCCGGGTGAGCGCAAGGCCGCGTAATCCCATAGAGAAGGACAGGCTGTGTACAAATCACACACAGCACCTGTCCTTCCCGGGAGCTGCCCGATATGGCTGGGTACGCAGCAGGGATCTGTACGGGGCGGCCCTTACCCGTGTGAATAAGGGTTAGTGAGCAAACAAAACATGCAGAAGAACTGTCCGGGTGGAGTTAATGGCATGTTCAAAACTATTTTAAATTTGCAGATTTTCATTTCTATCAGTATATAAAACAGAATTCACTAAAGAACAACTCCAGGCAGAAATTTTTCTTAAGCCTTGCAGTGTGGGGGTAGCCCCATTGCAAGGGTTAAAAACACATTTACCTGGTGTCCTTCTTTAACATAAGTACATATATAAAAACCTCAGAAGCTTTCAGAAATAGCATAGATTAAAAAATATTCAATATATTTATCTAGTGAAGAGACATTCTTCTAGCCACAGCTGCTTTTCCTATTTGGAGGAACACGGTATGTCACCTTTGGTAAGCTTCCTTCAACCTAAAAAATTCCTGCTAGCAATAGGCTACAGGATGCTGCATAACAAATATATACAGTGATAAACATGACAGACATTTTACGCACCTGTATTTGAACTTTCTTGGGTTGCGTCTTCTGTCTCTGCTATTATGATAATGTGGACAGGCATACCCTTGGCGGCAAAGTCTGGGTGGTTTAGTACACTGGTCAGTTTTATAGCTGGCGAGTACAAAGTTTGTATCTGGGGTAAAACAAAACAAAAATAAAGCCATGCAATCTATAGAAAAACAATAAAATATTGCACCATTACAAAATGTACATGTATCTGTAAATACCTCTATAATTTTTAAATTATTGACAATGTATTGCATATGTTAAAATATATTTATTGGAATGTAAGCAATAGAAAAATTAGGCACCAGGATAATATATTATCAATTCTGCTTTGTTAACGTGAATATTTATTAGCTGATCATTGTAATTTCTATCAGGAAGGTAAAAAAAAAAAGCATTATATTATCTATCCACCAGGTGGCAGCAGAGAAGCCTGGCAGGCATCCATATGTACAGTATGTTAGAAACCAAAAGACCAGACATAAAGGATACAGCACGTACTTATATCAGTAAACTAGGGCATTCACTTCACGGCAAGCATTTATTTGATTGTTTTTGATAACTCAGGACATAAAATGTAAAATGATACTTTTAGGTTCTATTTTTCAACACAGATTTAATTACGAAAAAACCTAAATAAAAAAAAAGAAAAGAAAGGAGACTGCTTGCTGTACTGTACTATGGGATTTTTTGGCAGCTCATCATGAGTGCATGTATGGAAACAATAGCAGCAGAGCAGACCTCCAGCTGCAGCGTGTGGATCTTGCTCTTTGCATGGGGCTTTGGCTCACAAGGTCCCATCTGCGCTGTACCATCTGGAAATCTTTAGAAAGCTACTTTTATGCAGAACTGTCACTATTTATTATGATCCAAAACACTTCTGTCTGCTGGCAAAAATCTGAACAGCCAACCGATTTAAGAAAAAAATTAATGTGGAAAACATACAGAAGAAATTAAAAGTATCTCCTGCTTCATTTTCATTGAAATAACTGAAAAATATGCTAGTGTGCCACTATTTTATTGACGGGATGCCCTGCTGGGATCAGGAGCTCTATGCTCAAGTTCACCCCACAACACCACCGGCAGGTGATATCTGGTTGTCTGAGCAGACATTGCTATATTAAAAAAGAACTCCAGGCAAAAGTGTTCCTAATCCTGGCAGTGGGGCTACGCCACACCGCAACGGTTAAATGTTCCTTTTTGTCTAGGTGCTAAAAAATAAATAAAAGCTACATTCACCAGAACTTCAGGGCCGGCTGCCTGCTTCTCTGGTCACTGAAGCCTGTCACCTTCTATGCTGCAGTATTGGAATGTTTCTCAGCTCCCTCCCATCTATACGCTATGTATAGATGTGACCATTTACAGGATCTTAGACCGCTTCAGCGAAGGGACCAGTCTAAGAGCAAGCCGGCTCCAAGGGCAATCGGGATCGTGTGACTATGTGTATATATGCATAATATTATATATATA